TACTACAGACAATAGATAAGTGGTAACTTTGGTGAAGGGTGAGACAGTACACAATACAGGGGAAACCAGCACAACTTGTACAAGGAAAGGTCATGGAAGCTCCATAGACACATCCAAACTCCCTGTGGAACTGAATTGCTGGGTGGAGGGCTGTGGGGACTATGGTCTCAGGGAACATCTAGCTCAATTGGCATAACACAGTTTACAAAGACAATGTTCTACGTTCTACTTGGCTAATAGCGTCTGGGGTCTTAAAAGTCTGTGAGCAAGCCATCTAAGATACTCCACTGGTCTCACCCCTCGGAAGCAAGGGAGAATGAAGCAAACAGAATACAAGGAAAAGATTAGTCCAACTACCACGGCCTCCACCATACTGAGTCCAGTACAACTAGATGGTGCCCGGCTACCACCACTGACTGCTCTGACAGGGATTACCACAGAGGGTCCTGGACAGAACTGGAGAAAAATGTAGAACAAAATTCTAATTCACAACAAAAGACCAAACTTATTGGCCTGACAGAGACTGGAGAAACTCCAAGAGTATGGGCCCCGGCCACCCTTTTAGCTCAGTAATGAAGTCACTACCGAGGTTCACCATTCAGCCAAAGAGTAAACAGCCCCATAAAACAAAATGAGACTAATGGGGCACAAAAGTCCAGGGACAAGGACTAAAAGGCAGGAGGGGACAGGAAAGCTGGTAATAGAGAACCCAAGGTTGAGAAGGGACAGTGTTGACATGTTGTGGGATTGTTACCCATTGTCATAGGGCAATATGTGTACTCTTTAATGAGAAACTATTTGTTCTGTAAACCTTCATTTAAAGTACAACAAAAAAAAAATTAAAAAAAAAGGAAAAAGCGTGTTCTGCGTGGCTTAAAATTGGGAAAGTTGTGTGGCCTGGTCGTATTCATTCGGCATACTTATTCAGTCTGTATCTGAGGAAATGATCCGAGAAGTTGGACTATATGAAGAAAAACATGGCATCAAGATTGAAGGAAGACTCATTCACAACCTGAGGTATGCAGATGACACAACCTTACTTGCCAAAAGTAAAAATGACTTGAAGCAGTTACTGATGAAGATCAAAGACATCAACCTCCAGTGTGGATTACACCTCAACATAAAGAAAATGGAAGTCCTTACAATTGGACCAATAAAAAAGATCATGATAAAAGGTGAAGAAATTGAAGTTGGCAAGGATTTCATTCTTCTTGTATCAACAGTCAATGCCCACGAAAACAGCAGTCAAGAAATCACACAACAATTGCATCGGGCAAAAGATCTCTTTAGAGTGCTAAAAATCAAAGATGCAAAGATGTCACCTTGAGGAGTCGGGTGCACCTGACCCAAGCCAGGGTATTTTCAATCACCTCATAAACATCACCATGAGAAAGCTGGACAATGAAAAAGGAAGACCAAAGAAAACTTGACACATTTGAATTGTGGTGTTGGCAAAGAATATTGAATATATGACGGACTGCTGAAAGAATGAACAGATCTGTCTTGGAGGAAGTACAGCCAGAATGCACCTTAGAAGCTAGGATGATAAGACTTCATCTCACTTACTTTGGACATGTTATCAGGAGGGACCAATTCCTGAAGAAGGACATCATGCTTGGTAAAGTAGAAGGTCAGTGAAAAAGAGGAAGACCCTTAGCGAGGTAGGTAGACCCAGTGGCTGCAACACCGGGCTCCAACATACCTATTATAGTGAGGATGGTGCAGGGCCGGGTAATGTTTCATTCTGTTATACATAGGGTTGCTATGAGTTGGAGTCGACTCAATGACACCTAACAACAGGTTAAATATTTGGCCAATAACTGAAAGTTTGGCGATTTGAGCCCAACTAGAGGCACCTCAGGAGAAAGACCTGGCTATCTATTTCTAAAAAGTCAGCCAATGAAAACCCTACTGAGCACAGTTTTACTCTGACACACACGGGGTTACTGTGAATTGAAATCGACTTGACAGCAACTGGTTGTTCTCACTTCTTGTGGCCTTCTTACAACCCTGATACTTACCTCTGTCCATCGTATAGATTCCCCAAATACTTGTGGAAAGATGGAAGAAAGAATCAAGTCCAGAAAGGAAGGGTGACTAGGTAAGTTAAAGGCTATTCCTTTCAGGAGTACCTGAATCTTCAAAGCCTATACCTGACGTTGTCATTTAACCCTAAAAAGAAGAATTTTAATGGAGAAATTCATTCACCATCAGATTGACCCTCTTCCTGAAATCTTTGATTTTGAGGAAGTCTTCCCAGGACCTTTCATTTTACATCACTTGGAATGTCTTCGTTTATCTCCCTATAAGACTAATTTTAACTTATTGTACTTAGATTCCAAGGAAATATATGTAAAAGCACTGTGTCAATGGTTAGTGATTAAATATTTGTAAAATAATACATTACAATGGCAAATCCAAGAGGTTCTAGTCAGTGGAGGTACATGTAACTCCTCATTTGTGTCAAGAGATGGCGCCATTTATTTTTATACATAATGCATATTGTCTATTGTTTAATACATTTTAATATTTTCTCAAAACTGTTAATAAAAACGAATAATTGACCTTTCTGCTTTATTAAATGCACATGCTTTCAGTAATTATGTCTTCCTGAGGAGATATTTTCTAATATTTTATTTTCATGGGCTATTCTTTCTGTTAGAAATAGCTTCATCTGTTACTAAAAAAAAAGAGACTTCAACAAAGAAAAGACACCTTTACCACAAAAATGTCATTCTAACTGCATTTTGGTTCAACAGTCTATAAAGAGAGAAACAAAGCTAAACGCTAGACTCTTCCTGTTGGGCCACCTATGAGTGTCAGCTGCCTTGTCAGGACCCCTCTACAGCCATACAGACGTGGTGGGGATTGCCCTTTAATCTGAGAAAGTGGTTTCCGGATGAGACTTTGTTTTCCACTCTCCGAGAGCTCTCGTAAGTCTAGCATTCTTAGTTTGCAGATCAGGTGTTTTATGAGCCAACACATGGCAACACAAACATTTAAACTGCCCCCACGTTTTACTACCTCAACTGCCGTATTTTATATAAAGGTCGCAAAATGACTACGGTCATTGATGAAAAGTAGGCATACCTGAGGCTCCTGCTTACTGAAATCAGGAATGGAACAGATTGAAAAATCAAACGTACATGCTGAGAAAGGTGGGTAAGGAGTAAAATCCTCGGAACAGTTACAATTTTCATGTCTAGAGGCTAGAAATTAGCAAAGAGAAAGGGGGATTATTTCCTATGTGGGAAATTTAATTTCCAATATTACTGGTATATAAGTAATATAAGTATAAATATAAGTAATGCAATTTTTGTTACTAGGGAAAGGAGTCATTTGTATGAGGGAGACAAAAATTGTTTAAAAATATTCTTATATGCTAGAGTCTCTGGTTTTTGCTTTAGTTTGGTTGGTTTTGGTTTCTATTTGTCGGGAAAGTTATCTGATGTCCCTCACAATGCAGCTATGAAGATCAGCATTTAATTAATTCAAAGGCTACCCGCCATAACTTCAGTGTATGCCTTAGTGAAGAAAGCAAAACTTTACTGCTTTGCAGGCTGGAAAGCCATTGATCAATCGACTCTAATCTTCCTCACAACACCACATTGCCTTATTTCTTTACTATTCATCTAAAATAATAATAATAAACTGTACTGAAACCCAGTAAATGGCTGAGAACACTCCAGCAAGGCCAAAGCACTTGTCAGTGAACAGATCTATATTAAATGGGCTGATTTTTGGCAGGTAAACTTGAAACAATATTTCTCAGTAAAGTGCCTCTAGCCAGCAATGCCTTGCTTGTCCCAGTAACTGGTTACCGGATTACTATTCTCCTTCTAACAGCTTTGATCCCTATAGGAGGAAGAGTTACCCAGGAAACTGATCCAGAAATTGAGTTGTACTTTTGCCAGAGTGAATTCTTCACAGAGTTTTATAAATAATGCTTAAAAAATATGCAAAAGAGCATAAGTAAATTTATTTTTCTAATATTCATAAGATAACATTTTTTAACTCCTTATTTTCCCCTGGGACTAAACCAATTACTTTATATATATTATTTTATTTGATACTAAAAACAACATTATGTAGCAGCTCGTATAAAATTTGGAGCCTTGGTGGCACAGAGGTAAAAAGCTCAGCTGCTAACCAAAAGGTTGGCGGTTCGAACCCACCAGCGGCTCCTCGGGAGAAAGATGGGCAGTCCGCTTCCATAAAGATTTACAGCCTTGGAAAGCCTATGGGGCAGTTCTGCTCTGTCCTATAGGGTCACTATGAGTGGGTGGGGGTTATACAATTTTAGTCTAACTGTAAGCTGATCCGATTAATACAAACTTTTCGACTTAAAGCATGCTTCTTGTAAATAACAACATAATTTGTAATCGTGCCCTAGAACTTTGTAAATGAAATGGCATCTCTTAGAAAAATGTTCATAGATGTCTTTTATATATCATATGTATCCTATGAATTTTAATAAGCTTAGCTATTTGATTGGAGATACTATGAAGTATTTAATAATGAGTTAATGATAAGTGAGCTTGAAATAAACAGTGTTTAGTTGACAAAAAATACTTCTTAAATTGAAGCAAAGGACATAAAAATTAATTTCCCTAATTATGAGCATTTATGACATCATTAAAAATTCATTTCTTTAATGAGAATTTTTGGTAGTTTTCAAAAGTCCCTTTACCACATCACCAGTAAATTAGAAACATAATAAAAATAGGTAATACTTGTTGAGTATTTATCGTGGTCTAGGTAACGTTCTAAGCCCTCTCTCATTTAGTAGTCACAATAAACTCACGAAGCAAATACTGAGGCAGTCACTTCTACCATTTGATAGAAGAGGAATGAAGTGTTAGATTAAGAAGCTTGGATGAGGTTGCCCAGGTTCCAACAGGCTACAGCTGGACTGGAAACAAGGTCCTTCATTCCAAAGGCTATCTTATTCTCTTAACTATATTGCAGCCTTCCTTCAGCAAAGGGATGCTCCACATCTCTCCTACCGACAAATAAACACAAATTAAACCAAAAGAAAATTCTGAATATGTTACATATTGCCATAAAATATTCAACGGCCACCCTTAGTGCTTCTTACAAATTAATATCAATAAACATGATTCAATTATTGATTGTCTTGAAAAACTGGATTCAATTTTTATTTTTTTTACTATTTTATTTATTTATTTTTAATTGTACTTTAGATGAAGGTTTACAGAACAAATAGTTTCTCATTAAAGAGTTAGTACACATATTGCCCTATGACAATGGCTACCAACCCCATAACATATCAACACTGTCCCTTCTCAACCTTGGGTTCTCTATTACCAGCTTTCCTGTTCCCTCCTGCCTTCTAGTCCTTGTCCCTGGACTGTTGTGCCCCATTAGTCTCATTTTGTTTTATGGGGCTGTCTAATCTTTGGCTGAATGGTGAACCAAGGTAGTGACTTCATTACTGAGCTAAAAAGGGTGTCTGGAGGCCATACTCTCGGGGTTTGGATTCAATTTTTGAAGAGGTACAAAACAGGGTACTTGACTAATAATGCAACTTTAAACAGTCTGATTAAATAACCAATAGAAATAGCAAATAGTTGTGTTTCAAAGCATGTGAAGTTACAGAAGTTACATTCAGCCGTAATATAAAATACTGTAGGACTAAGAGCATATGAAGAACAGATTGCTTCTTAGCCCCACTTATTGCTATCTGAAGAATAAGCCTGGTGTTCATGACATCAGAGAAACTTTGTGATACTTCAGGATTAAAGAATCGTTTAAAAATTAAAGCTAACTTTCCAAAGATTATGAGATTTTGAAGCAACAACATATTTATACGATGACACTAATACATTTGCATTAAAAAGAGAAATCGCAACATAAAAGGTATATTATACATTTTCTGAATAGCACAGCATTTTCTCATTAGACCCATGCAGTCAACTTATGCTTCTTGATTTCTAAATAAACTACCCAGCTCACTATGAATTTGAGTCCTTGTGTGTTACAAATATAAAAGGTAACCTGTGTGAGTTGTGTTCTATGCAGATAACATCAAGTTTTCTCAACTCATTGCTATTTTTGTTTAATTATTTTGTGGGCAAAACCTTAAGGACTCTTGGAAAAGATAAAGCTTTGCCTGTTTAAGGAACCACAGCCATCTCCTACTGACCGAAAGAAGTTTGACTACGACTTTGCCATCTCTACCTCCTTTCATGGGGTACACAACATTGTTCGGAACCGGAGCAAAATTCGGAAGGTGATCTGGTTGGTGGTGGTCCTGGGCTCGGTCTCACTCTTGGTGTGGCAGATACGCAGTCGCCTGGCCAACTACTTCACTTGGCCCACCACAACATCTGTGGAAGTTCAATATGTGGAAAAGATAGAGTTCCCAGCTGTGACATTTTGTAATTTGAACAGGTAAAAATTACTCTTTTCATAAAAATTGAGTCCCTGTAACTTCTCTAGTATAACCTTTCTCGGCTGACTAAAATAGAGTTTATTAGACAGTATTCACATAGTAAAACCATTGAAGTTCCTAACTTGTATTTAAAAGCACAAATGTAGAGGAGAAAAGAACCTTATCGATGTTGTTTTCATTTATTTTCCTTTATTCCTTTTTTTTCCCTTCCTTCCTTCCAATTTTTTTTCCTTCCTGCTTTATCTCCACAGTTATATGCTAGGTGATATACAAAACAGATTAAAAGTCCTGATTAGCAAAAAAGGTAGAAAATAAGCGATTTCAATACAAGATGGTAATTGTACAGTAAAATGGAAGTGTGTGCAAGGGCTCTGAAAACACGTAGGACAGACTGACTGGCTCCGCGTGGGGTGGTATAGAAGTCTGAATATTAAATGATGATGAGGTGTTTCCCAAGTACATATGAGGAGTAACTAGAAGAGGGAATTACTGTAAAAAAAACAGAAGCGTAGCGTTATGAAATGTTCTCGTTTGTCTAGAGAGCAATGTGATATTTGATGTCATAGAGGCAGGGCAAGTAACAAAAATTACAGGGCCCCGCAGTTCAAAGAGACTCACCCTTGGTTTAATGCTCTACTTCTGCTAGCTTGAAATTATTAATAGTGTTTTCACAAGGGCTCCTGTGTTTTCATTTTGCACCGGGTCTTGTAGATTATGTAGTCAGTCCTGAGTAGAAGATTGATGGGCAGATATGTGGGGAAGGTGAGGCCAGGAAGTTTCAAAAACCAACTAGCTTCAGTGAAGGCCAGTGGATTGGACTGGCTAAAAGACTAGTGAAGAGATTGTCACCTTAATCCAAGGCAACAATGATTAGTACTGACTAAACTGGTGGTCATGGGGTAGAAAAATGGTCCTAAGTCTAGAGAGGTTTGAAAATTGAAGAGAGATTATTTAAAAGACTTAATTGTAAGATAACATAAAGTGAGGAATTGATTTCAGACTATAGGATTTTTAAATTCCTTTTCATACATCCTAACGCCTTTCAGGAAACCCGTGTGGCATAGTGATTAAGAGCTATGGCTGCTAGCCAAAAGATCAGCAGTTTGAATCCACCAGGCCCTCCTTGGAAACCCTATCGGGCAGTTCTACTCTGTCGTATAGGGTAGCTATGAGTTGGAATCGACTCAACAGCAATGGGTTTGTTTTTTTTTTTTATTTAAAGCCATTCAAGGATATCTGTTAGTCATCTTCACCTGAAGTCCCAGACCCATTTTTTATCAGCTATTTGACCATGGGAAAGTTATCTAACTTTCTTAGCTTCAGTTTCTATATGAATAAAATAGTATATTATCTACTTCACGTGCCTGCTGTTATATTAGATGAGGTAATAGGTACACCACTTTGTTTCATTCCTGGGAAATTCCTGGGACATAGGTGCTCAGTAAATAGTAGATACCGTAGTATGCTTGATTGTTAATATTTCAAGAAGTCAAGATGTATAACACGGTCCCACATTATAAAAACAAATCAACCCCCCAAAAATGTTTTTCAATATTATGGCCTCAAACTATTTTAAATGTCATGTATTCTAAAAAGAACAAAAATTGATTGCTCTTTAATGATGAAAGACACTATTCTTTAAAAGGAAATTTAGAATCTGCGTCCAGAATTGTGGTGTGAGGAGCTCTCCACAGACCCTCTCCCCAGGAAAACAACCGTTACTGGTGACAATTACTTAAAATAAACAAACAAAAAAGAAACAACCATTTAAAGTCTCTGAAATAGTCTTAATTGTCTTACATATATATATAATTTCTGTCTCTTTATGGATGTTCTCTTGGGAGCAGCAGTCAAGAAATCAAAAGACGCATTGCATTGGGCAAATCTGCTGCAACAGACCTCTTTAAAATGTCAAAAAGCGAAGATGTCACCTTGAAGACTAAGGCGTGCCTGACCCAAGCCATGGTGTTTTCAACTGCCTCATTTGCATGCGATGTGAAAGCTGGACATGGAATAAGGAAGACCTAAGAAGAATTGATGCCTTTAGAGGGTGGTGCTGGAGAAGAATATTGAACATACCACAGACTGCTAAAAGGACAAACAAATCTGTCTTGGCA